AAAAAAAAAAAGAATATTTTTCCTGAACAGAGGCATGAAGCAAAACCTACAAAATAAGAAATTCCTCTCAGAGCTCTAGTGGCAACAGAACAGCTTTTATCACATCCTAACCAGATGTAGCCAACTTCTCACACACAGCTACGTGGAAAAAAGAGAGAACTTTTGTCAACTTGGTGTAGTGGTGTTGGAAAGATGTGGGACCAGGGGATTTAATTATTTTATCTCCATCTCTCAACCAAAAAAGCCCTCTCTCGCTGTCTTTCCCCACCTTCTTTCCCCATCCCCACTTTAGAAGGCTTTGTGTCCCAGTGATTGTAGGACACCAGAATTCAGCGTCTCCAGGTTGAGAGCTCATGAAATCACACAGAACTAGCATAGCAAATGTTCTTCATAAGGCTCTTATGGTCTTTCATAAATTGATGGGAGGAGAGGTAAGGGAGTGGATTTTCACGGGGAGCTGATCTGTTGACTTAAATTCCATCCATCAGCCATCACTCTTTCCAAGAATGCTGTCTTCCCTGCCCCTGTGGGTCTATAACCTTTTCTAAACAATTCACTTTGCCATAATTTTAGTGGAATTCAGCAGGGAACAAAATTAAACGTGTTTACTTAATTTGTTGGATCAACTCAGACCTCCCATTGTATTTTCCACAGAGTTACTGTTTGTATACATGAAAGCTACTGATCAGTATGCTGCCCACCTTACTTTTCATGTTATTCCTGATAGTATTTCAGTCGATGTTCTTGGGTTTCCTAAGTATATGATTAAAGCAACTACACATAATATAGTTATTATGTACATATACAGGGAGGAAGGAAGGGGAGAGGAAGGGAGGGGAGGAGAAGGGAAGGAAAGGAAGGGAAGGGAAGGGAAGGGAAGGGAAGATGGGGAGGGAGGGGAGGGAGAGAAGGGAGGGAAGGAAGGAAGGGTCAATTACCTGGAATTGACTTTTACGTTTGATATAAAGAAGAGACAATTTTCCACCAGTGGGGATAATTGTCCCATCACCTTTTATTAAATACACTACTTTGGTAGATGGTGCCCATAGCTCAGTCATCAAGGGCACCGGCCACATACACCTAGGGTGGTGGGTTCGAACCCGCCCAGGTCTGCTAAGCAATGAAGACTACTGCAACCAAAAAAAAAAAATAGCTGGGCATTGTGGCAGGCACCTGTAGCCCCAGCTACTGGGGGAGGCAAATGGAGACTTTTTCCTGGGCTTGGAACTGTGGCCGTGAAGTTTATTCCCAAGCGGTGTCCCGCGTGGTGGCGGG